GTTGATGGTGTCCGTTTGTCCGTGAAGACGATAACTGCCAACGCTTGGACCGATTTGGTTCAAACTTTGCACAGCTGACCTATATGCCACAAGTATTGAAAATGGATCAAATTCAATGACTCCGTGGGGTCACGCTTCTCTGTCCCTGCCAAACGCTTGAACCTATTCGGGTGACACTTTGCACAGTTAACACATATACCATGTGCAACAAACCAATTGAAAATGGGTCAAATCCAATGAACTCGTAGAGTTACACCGAGGTGCCGCTCTGCCGATTTTTTAGATGCTCTTTAGGGGTTTATTTAACATACAGGTCTATTACACTTACACCAAACTCACTAATACTTCCGATACCCTTACGCTTAATGACTTAATGCCTTGGAGACCCTTGAATCCATCTGAATAGTCTCCCGCATCCTTTACCGGTCAGCTGGTATTCCCGCATTTATCAACTAAGGGTTGCGTTGACGTTTTACTTTTTCATTATTAAGAACCACCTGAAAATATCGTGCTTACAATAATAATATTTAGGGCGGGCCAGTTTCCTAATCACGCAAAAGTCAACTTAATGTCAAAATTAAGACGGCTGTTATGGACAAATCCCTCCATTTCGAGTGGAAAATAATATTGAGTTAACATTAATGATATTGATACGATAGCTTGCAGTAACGAATATCAGAGAATAGTTGAACAGCAACATTAATTTTCATTAAAATTGACTTTAGTCAAAGGAGACTTTTGCTAATTATGAAACTGGCCCTTATCTTTTCACGATTAATAAGTCCAGACTTAACTAGGTAGGTAGCTTAATCAAATTAGAATTAATGTCCTAGTCCTAGTCGACCTGGTCTGCAGTTCCGTAAAATGCTAGTACATCACCGTGGCAGATTGAGGTCTTTAAGTTTCAATTGCGTGCGAGAAAAGATTGCTTGGTGATTAATGGGCACTTTAATTTGTCTTATTACCCAAGCTTTACGTAATTGTCTTTCGATATTGTAAAATTTATATAACGAGCAGGCACCTATTATCTGGCATACGTCCAGAAAATCTGACAGACAATAAATCAATCGTCAAAAGAGACGATATTGTAACAATGTAGCACTACTAGGACAGAAGGAAGCAAATGAGCTAGTGCACCAAATGAATGTGCACCAGAAACGTCATTTTCACCGCCTACATGCATATTCATTACACCAATTAAATGTTCTAAATTATATGCAGTCATATTTCTACTGAATTACGACAATGCCCGAGGAGTCCAATAATACACATATCAACTTTACACAGACCGTTGGAGTGGTGCTACTAAATAATAATGCCGGCTTAATAAGCGCATGAAACAAGCTGCTTTATTTCTGTAATTGGTATTCAGGAACAGTTATTTTAAATATTCCCATTGCGCTTTATTCAATTATATTATACCGGCAAAGATTTTTTATGAAACTAGGTGTAGTAATTAAAATCGAATAAAATCGATAATAAAGTCGACGCGATTAACTTTCTCAATAAATTAATTCGCGCATTTAATTACGTGAGTAAGAAAGAAATTAATTCTCCGAATTTAACGATGGCAAAAAATAAATGAGGCTTGAGTCAATTAAAATTTTGAGATTCCAGACAAATACGAAAATGGGCGATTATATGTGCTTAGGTTCTGATGAGCAAGGCGCCTTTTAATTTTACAGTTCACATAAATACCTGTATGGGTGATTTTATAGGCCTAATGTAGGAAAATCTACTCGATGTATTACGCCGTAATTTTGCGAAGAAATTTAGAAGAATTCTAATCAAAAATGAATTTCAAAATTTTACCGTGTAAACTGAAAATACATTTACTAAGTTGATGTCGAACTATTGACAGTACCAACTCAAATAGACTCGACCGATTTTTATGAAATGTATTTGCTAGGTATGAGAGGTAGGTCTTAAAGTATATTTCATAAGGCTAGGTGATTATATAGTTTGCCAGATGCGCGAGGTGCGGCGCATTGTAGATTGTACTAATATGAAGAAGCCAATAAAATTAATTAATAAAATATTAATTAAGACCTTCAATAGGTGTTTAGTGTTATAACTTACAGAATTTTTGTTTAAATGAAGATTGTTGCACAGTTCGTTTGGGGCAGAAAATCACTCCTGAAGGATAACTATTTTCTTCTCGTCTATTTAAGTTATTTACATGACTTCACTTAGGGGAAGAATGGGATGACAATCTTGTTTGCTTATGTTTAAACTTTACAGAAAGGAAAAGAGAATTTTTTTTGTAACATAAGCAGTTAAAATGTTTTTTTCACTACTAGCGTCTGATGACATGATTATTAACCTTTTTTCCACTTGTAAAGTAGGCGTTCTCGGCATTTGTTCAAAGTGGTTAATAATGTGGACATTATTAACTAGTAGTCAATAATGAGAACTGTCACGCTGTCACTTAGAAAACACAACCCGAAATTTCGCTCAATAAACGTTTAGACAAGTTCTCTAAAATGAATAATTGCCACCATCCGCCATTTCCAGAGAACTTACATACCTAAAATTATCATATTTTGAAAAAATTCGAACGAAATTACTCTTTGAAAATATCTCAATGACAGAACAAAATACGGCCTGTTTGACTTTTACTTCCACGTACTTGATTGACATGTTAAATTAATAAACACAAAATTCTGTCTAACCGTTCACTTTCTTATCAGTATAATATGTTAATTTAGAGGACTTCAAGTGCTAGTAGTGAAAAAAATAGTATATATACCACGGTAGAGAAGTATATTATTGCCTTCGCACCTTACACTGTACTGTACTTCTCTACCTTTCTACTATTATTATCAATTTAAAAGATTACAAACCTGTTTATCGACTTACATACATCACATTATGACTGTGGGGTATTCGCGTAGATCCAGAAAACATGCCGTAAGAACGGGTTGCAATCTTGGCGTGATGAAAATACGGGATTTGTGTTGGTTAAAAAGGACACGTTTCCTACAGAAGTTGCGTTCAGCAAAAAGGAGGTCGTTTCAGAATTTTCAGCCGGCGAATTTAAGAAAAAAATCTGGCGGGAGATAGGGATTCTTACTAAAGCTTTTGAAAAGAATTTATGCCGGTCGAGTGCTACTTTTTTCGATCGTGTATTGATTTTTTAGCAGAATCCTCGGTGCAAATTTACAGTGTGAATGCGAAAGTGTTATAACCCCAGTATGTGGGAGAATCGCAGTTCTCTCAATCCGAACTTCAGTGTCCAATTTGTTTATAGGAAGTGCAACAAATTTACGAACAAAACGGCTACCGGAAAAAAGTTAGAGACAATTAACTAAAGTTACAAGGGTACACTTTTTGATATTTATACTTTGCGGAAAATCGGTAATTTATTACGGTGGATATCAACCAATTAAATAAAGGTTTATTCATGAATCAAATTGAGTCAACCATCTTCTGGGGTTAATTTTCAAATACGCGTATTGCCTGAAACGTTCCAGTATCCAAATTTTCAAATTGTTGTTATCTTCCAAAGGAGAAATCAAACTGACGATTGAAGGGAAAAATCGCGGATACTGTCGATACGGTACTTATTTAATACTCACAGCAACATTTTTACCAGTGCCGTAGAAATTAAATTTTATTTTAGGAACGCAAGATGTTTATAACCCCTGTAAGTGTATCTAGCCAGTTATAATATTCAACAATGGCCACTGGAATTGGCAGTTCCTCCAAAAAACATCCCGTTTCTTGTTTTATATTTAAAAGAAAAGTAAGCAAAGTCAAAAGGGTGCCGCATAAGGAAAAAAGAGTACGACTGAGAAAAACCTTGACATTTCATCAACAAAATGAAGTTAATTTGCCAATTAGTTTGAGAAATTATCAAACTTAGGCAAGATTATAATGGAAATTGTAAATCTATATACCCAAAAACCAAAGAGGATGACTAAGCTGGTTACACACAAGTTTAGGGAGCAATGAGTGACATTAGTAGACAACAAAACTTCTGGATGGTGTTTAATTTGCCAATTCACCTTATCATACGAGTCGGGAGTCAATTCCCATATAAGAGATACAGAATGGGAAATTCGTATAATGAGATACCCTTATAGAAGGAAAGTAATGTAAGTATATTATTATAACTTTAGAAAATTTGTAAATAAAGAAGTTATAGGCAATTACAGATTTTTTTTAAGTAACATCAGGATCAAGGCACCTATTAATGAAGCCCTGACGAGGTGACTTGAATGGTCGTTAAAATAAATATTTGATGCAAGGTTTAGAAGTTTCGTCAGCTATTAACAAGAACCAATTTTGAATTGTGTTATTATGCGGTATTAACACCGATACTGTTGCATGTATATTTGAACATTTTCTCAATCGATAGTTGAATGTAAGTGTACAGAAGCTACGTAGCACAAATTAGTCGTTATCATCCATTCAGTGACTTACGATCGAAGACTAAAATGGAAAATAATGGGCAAACGCAATACTTTAAAGGACTGAAAAGATATGGAAGATTGTCCGGGTTGATATTCACGAAGGAAGTAAATAATCGTGATATTATTACTTCGTGCACTTTCTTGTTAGGGTTTTATGCGTACTGCGCTCTATACTTCACCCGAAAGTGGAGTTTAGACAATGACATTAAAGATCTCATTTATGGCGCGGGAATTGCATATTGTATTTTGGAGCATATAATTTTTTGTATACTAATAATATTTTTAAGGCGTTCCGCGTAGTACTATAATGAGAATATATAGATCGAAACTCGCTGATCTGTTAATTGCGATGGAAAAATCGACATACAAAGTGTACAGGGCCACCGACCTTTCCAGAGAAATTCAAAAAGCGACATCGAAAGTGGTACGTCTTGATTTTTATTGATTCTATATGCTATATCGAAGTTGTTTAAGATTTACATTATACTTCCTCTAGTCCCTACCACGTTAATAGTTACCATACTCCCTTGGTATTTGCAACACTCGCACAAAAGCCTTCCGTTTGGTTTGATGCCTAGATGGGCGATGAGTTACAGCTTTACGGGCTGTTTAGTTTTGCAGGTCGCGGTGGTCACCTTCTTATGTTTCGAATACGCGCTAACGGACACCATAAAGTTAAGCATCATGATACAATTGAAACTTCACTTTAAATATCTGAAGTTAAGCGTTCAAGAGCTGATCGCAAATGCAAAAGATGAATTTTGCATGGAGAACGAATTGGAAAGCTGGTCGGTCTGTCAGTATGATATACCTTTCGTATACCTCCAAAAGCAATCGAAAAGAGTTATCGACCATTATAATTACATCATCCAAGTTGCAAGCGAAACGGAATTGATATTTAACAAATGTGTGCTGTTTAGTTTTATTAGCATGTCGTTTGTGATTTGTCTCGCCATGTTGCGGATATCAAATGTAAGTAAACTAATAAACCAAAACTCTGCTAAAATAAAGTTCTTCGACAGATGCAACAAGTTAACACCGAACATTTAGAGTTTTTATTTTATATAATTGCGCCTTTGATAGTGTTTTTCGTAGATTGCTATTTTACACAGGAAGTGATTACAGAGAATGAAGCTTTCGCTTACTCGTTTTACGAAATTGATTTTATTGGAACCCACTTGGCATTCCAAAAATGTTTAATTTTATGTATCGCAAGAGCTCAGAGGTTAGTTTCATTTACGATTGGAAAATTTGTGCCTCTTACGATGGTTGCAACAATTACAGTAAGTTGTGAATGTAAGTTGAGATTTTTCCTAAGTATTTTTATTATTCTCAGATCGTGAAAGCGTCATTTTCCTACTACACCTTGCTGAAGAGCCGCAATAAGGATTAGGCATTATGGGTATTATGTAATGGGTAGTATGCAAATGTAACATTATAGCCTATAGGTAACGGTATAGATTTTTACGGACATTGTTAAGACATTGACGTTTTCCTGCATCAGAGTTTCATTTTTGGTATCGCTTTCACAGTACTAATATTGACATTAACGGTGCCCCGGTGCCCGATTGTCGTTAGATGTTAATAATATGGCGCATTCGATCAAGTTTTGCTTATAAAAATCGGTGGAATTTAAACCTGAGATGGAAAACCAATTCTAAAGGTCCACGCCAGTTATATATCAGGAGTCATCGGAAGCAAAATTGGCTCTATGAATTGTAGGATATTATACAGTGTACAGTACAATAGTACCTTTTGTTGCAATTAATTTAAAATTTTAAAATTAACATGTCACGTAGGATTGTTTCTTTTTTGGTGTGGATATAGTGGAACGCGCCAAATTTAAAGAATTCGTTTCAACATTACCAATTGTACGTAACTTAACCCAGAGAGGTCGTTGCGCCAAACTAAACGTTCAAACTCGAAATCTATGTGTAAGATAACCCCTTACTTTCGTTCACCTATCGATTATGGGGCCATTGTATTCCTAAGTGTTGATTTCGCTGCACGAACCATTTTATAATTACTGTAGTTTCGCCTAATTATTTTTAGGTACAAATTTTCATGTAAGGTCGTTAAGGTAAGCGTCGTCACTTGTCAATGCCCTTATGTAATTAGTGTGTTTATTCGTTAAGCGTTTCTCTACATAAACTACAACCAGCATACGTGGGTTTTATTTTCCCTCCCATTGCCGACGAACCGAAACCAGCCCTGCACCCATAAGGGTGTTCCGCTACATGTTGTAGGGTGACGTTAAACGGAAATTTAATTAAAAAAATTACATTGCAAGAACAAATTTTGAAAATGGTAATTTACCGATTAAAAATAAGCTGCGAAAAATTAACCAACAAAAAACCCGCCACCAAATTAATATAAATAATTATTATTCTTAAATTTAAAATGAACGAATTTCAATCTAATAAACGTTCGAAATTTACCTCTGCTTAACCCACGTATTGGCGACCCTGGACTTAGGAGATTAATTGACAAGAAATTTTCTTTCACAAAACACGTGAGGCAAATTACGGCGAACACTAGAAGGCGTTCACTAGCCTCAGCAGGATATTACACAACAGAGGGGAGGGTAGAGCTAGAGCTCCAAAAAAAGGTATTAGCCAGTGGTGCCCAATCTACAGAATTATTCATTTAGAAGTAGGCGATTTCCTATGTCTACGTTTAAATGACAAAAACTCTTTTGAAAGATGCCTAATTATTATGCAACCTTGCAACATGCGCACGCATTCTGCACTGTCATTCTGAATTTTAATAAAAGCGACAGTAAATAGTATGCTTTTAAGTTATAATTAAGAGATATTAAATTCGGCCGCTATTACCCTTAAGTTTCCTATGGGATTCTCTTCCACAAAAATGAAAATGTTCAGTTTCCTATCCTCCGTTAAAATGGAGGGTTGTTTGCAGTGTCTTATGTGTATTGCATTTAAACAACAACTAATTTTAAAGTGATCAACACAGAAACTAAGTCTCTTACGCTTCTTAAACTGTTACCGACATTATACCAATTAACAATCTCAACTATTTCTTCAGTTGAATACATCGCACACAAACAAAAATAAAAATACGAATTATTATTATATTATATATTAGGGAAATCAAATACATCCCTATGTCTACTTCTAAATAATTATTACTGTATAGTGCAGTAATTATGCAGGCATCTGGAGCGTGGAATGACAATGTATAGTTGGATGAATAGGAAAGATGCCAGTCATGGACGAAACTGCTTATTCCAGTCCTCAGATTATGGCACAAAAGAAGACAAGGAAAGGCAAATTGATCACATCACTCAGTTTCTGACAGGACATACAGAAAACGGGAAATATCTACCCCGCTTCCATATTAGATCTTTCGAAATAAAAAATTGCTGTGTCTACCTAATTACAATGAAATGCGTGGAACTCGATTCTGGAATAGCAAACGATTTCGACATCTTAATAAAGAGATTTTGAAATCTCTCTTATCAAAACCTGCGTATCATATTAACGTAGTGGCAATCTCGGTGCTGCGTTTCGATTTTTTGGCAAATCACAACATGTTCATCTACGAGCTCATGCAAAATGACTAGCGATCTTACAAAGAGGATAGCCAAAAACTTTTGAAAATACCTATTTTATTTATTTGTTACAGATGATAATTTACTGAAGTTCTTACCCAAAGCGAAAGATCATCCGATCCCTTCTATTGTAATCATAAAACTGCAATGAATGGAAAATAAAGGCCGTTGCATGTGGCTCAATAAACAATAAAATATATGAACGTTATTTGTCAACGAATAAGTTTTGATTTAATTCAAGGAAAATTGATTATGAAATGGCATTGGGTGCGCTCACGTTTAATCATAAAGATCAATAAAAGATTTATTTGACATCTATTATGAATAAAAGATAAAAGAAACAATGACAATTATTTACAGCCGAGCAAATCTAGGCTACCTCCACGATGAAGTTTGTAAATTGTCAACGGTAAACTATTGCCTCCGTTTTCGCCCGCATACATATCGGCGACGTATATGTGTATCACATAATTTTTAATGTAATACCGCAACAATAATTTATTATATGGTTAGTATGTTCAAAATTAACGCTGTCGTTTTGGCCGTAGGTGACGGTCGAGTCGGTAAGTGTAATCTACTTCTTTTAATGAACGACTTAATCCTACTGTTTAAATAGTGGGCGCTGATTTACGTTCTGAAACACATTTTTTCAATAATTGAGGGCTATAACCTAATAGCGGAACGTATAACAAGAAGTTTAATGTTATTCTAAACACTATTACTTGCCTTAAGTTTTAGTAATGTTACGCTTCGTCTGTTTTATTGATTTTGTTTTATCCTAAGGGTGTGATTTCTATTTAAAAGCTCGTCTTGTTAGGCTACTCGTATATGGTTTAACAAATCTCTAACCGCAAAATTAATTATATTCATCTTTGTCATGTGACTCGGATTTTTCTAGTTTCGCTTACAAATTACCTTAATTAATAGACAATAGTAATAGGCACTTCTGCAACTGCCAAAGTTTTTGCAGTGAGTTTCGACAACCAGACAAAGTAGACATTATTATCAGATAGGTACAACTTATGAAAATGAAAACAAGCAAAACCGAAAATGAGGCAGATGGTTCGAGTCAGTTTAATCCTTTTTACAACGATGATGTTATGTACTGAAGCAGAAAACAGAATGATAATAAGTACTTCAAATTCTAGTTATGGTAATTAATAAAGTTGGTATTAGACGGTTTATTGTAATACACTGTTTGAACTGTCGTAGTGATCACGCGCACTAGCGCGGAATAAAGTTTTGCAAAGTGGTGTAAGATAAAAATAAACGTCGAAAATTATTTCCTCACCAGTAATGTGTCTTTTTTTCCGATTTTTATGTAAATAACTATGAATAATTCGCTAGTGCTTATATAGTTAAACATTGTTTGTGCGAGGAGATGCGCATGATTGCTATGTTGAAAAGAAAGTAATATTTTACTTCGTAAATTCAAGATGGCTCATAGTGTGTGCGGTAAATTCGCTCACCAAATAGTAGCTTCAGAGCAATTCATGATCTCGAAGGCTACCCCCAAAACGAGATTCACCTTAACAAATATCTACTGAATTCAATTCTAAATTTCCCATAAATTTAAACTTATCTCGGAAAACTACCCCTTTCGGCCTATGTATCGAAGATCCTTTTGGAGTAATCGCCCAAAAGAAATTTGGCAATGCTATTATCATTTATGTGTACTTAAATAATATTAATTCTTTTTCCGCAACTTTTTTCGTAAAATATCAAACTCAAATTTACTTTATTCCTGCCTCTGGTGTGTTATTCGTTCATAAAAATGCAACTATTAGGATGCTAGCCGTCGTCGTCGTCGTCGTCGTTCGTCTAATTGCTGTAACTGCTAAGCGAGCGGCCCGAGTTCGATTCCCTGTCGATGCAGAATTTTTTTAATTTTATATATTGAGAATTTCTACATTTCGCCAGACTAATGCTCAGCCTTGATGTAGGATGTCTCACAGGATCGTAGGTATTTCTATTTCTAGTTTATGATTAGAGCGTAAGAAACTGCAATGGCGTCTTCGTAGATGTTTCAATACTGAAATAAATCCTCAAGAGTTTGTTCATTTGTATACAACATCCTTACTTACACTAAACGTAAATAATTAGAATTTAACACTTTTCAATCCCAAGATAGACAATGTGCAATTTAAAACGAGTTCAATAAATCTTTGAATTTAAAAATTATGAATTAATATGCTATGCTAGATGCACACATAACTGATTGTGGGTTTTACTCATGTTCTATTAGCAATGCAAAATACACTATTATTGATAATAATAAATAATAAAGAAATTACTGAGCTCGATTTCGCCATTCAGTACAGATATATAAAAATACTAAGAGTTTGTTTCTGATACTAATGTGCCGCGAATGAAAAAGCGTAAACGGATGTCAACGTAGCGAAAAGTTCGAAGGGTGCGAATATCCTTAATGACCTTAACGGAGCCTTGTTTGGTTTCACGAACTTTAAAATTGTGGTTGTGGTCTTGCAGTGATGTACTAGTTCTACTCGCCCTTGACGTTCCTCACTCCTGAAAGCTATACGACTTTTGACGTCTAACCGTCTTCCTTAACACATCTACCGCTTGCGATAGTATGGTTGGCTTTGAAAAGTTGCCAAGTGACGGGTTGTCAGCCCTCCGATCACTTTCCAAACGGACGATTTGAAATCTTGATCATACCTGAAAACAGATATCATTACACGGAACTCCGTCGACCAATTGCAAATCTTCGATATGCCTTATGAATCATCACGAATATTAGTGGGCGATCGTTCTGCATTGTTCTATACTACTCCGGTATTTACCATACCAATTAGGAAAAT